CTGGCTGCTGGGGGTACACCAACCAAAAAAGGTTGAAAACCCCTGGCATAGAGTGCAAACTCCAGCAAGTTTGCAGATGATGCCAAGGTGTGGGGAGTAGTAGGTACGCTGGAGGGTAGGGCTAAGATTCAGAGAGACCTAAACAGACTAGAAGATTGGGCCAAAAGAAATATCATGAGGCTCAACAAGGACAAGTGCCAAGTCCTGCACTGAAGATGGAACAAGCCCATGCACCAGTACAGGCTGGGTGGTGACTGGGTGAGCAGCAGCTCTGTAGAAAAGGACCTGGGGGTTACAGCAGACAATAAGCTGAATATGAGCCAGCAGTGTGCCTTTGTCAAGAACAAAGGTGTGTTGCCAGTAGGTCAAGGGAAGTGGATTATTTCCCTCTATTCCGCACTAGTGAGACCCTATCTGGAATATTGTTTAGTTTTGGGCCCCCCACTACAGAAAGGATGCAGACAAATTGGACAGAGTCCAGCTGGAGGGCAGTGAAAATGGTGAGGGGGCTGGGGGACACGACTTCTGAGGAAAGGGAGGTTTAGGTTGGATATTCAGAAGAACTTTCTCACTAGGAGGGTGGTAAAGCACTGGAACAGGTTACGCAGAGAGGTTGCGGACTCTCCATCCTTGGAGGTTTTTAAGACCCAACCTTGGCTGGGATCATCTAGTTGGGGATGGTCCTGCTTTGAACAGAGGGTTGAACTAGATGACCCTGGGAAGTCCCTTCCAATCCTAATTTTCTATGATTCTGTGTTGTAGCCCAATAATTCGGTGATCGTGGTAGTTACCCAGGTTCTACGCCCCTTTTGCTGAAAGGGAGTTTGAACCTGCATCTCTGACTGCCCAGCACAGTGCTCTAACTACCAGCACACCACAGATTAGGCATATCTAGTCCCTTTTCAGGCACTTCTTTTGAAGCTGGACCCATGGGCAGCCAAGAGGGAGAGAAAGCTGAGGCCAGGACAGAAAGAATAAGTTAGTGTGTGCGTGGCTCAGGAAGGTAAATGCAGCTATAGAAGGAAGCAGGCTTTGGATTCTAGCCTGGTTCCTTGCTGCCACTGGGGCAGAAACTTCCCTATTGCACTGCTCTCCATCCACTTTTTCCACTGACTGTTAAATTCAAGGGGCAGTAGTTCAGTTTCATAGGAAGGGATGAAGTAGGGTCCAAGTAATCTGTAACTTATGGCATGGTGTTCAGAGTGCTGAATTGAGAAGTTGGAGAGACACAGGTTCAACCTGAGTCCCCAGCCTCTAGCAAGGAATACCTAAAACTCAGGTGTCTGGCTGCCTGGGCAGGTGCCCTAACCATTCAAGTGCTAGTGATAAAACACAGGAAGGTCCACCCCTCCCCTTTCCCCTTCCTCTTCCCACCTATCACTTTTCCAGGACCTCCACTCCGGTTTATTTGCATGTGTATGTGCCCATGCCTGACCAGTGCATGTCCAGATCGAGTTGACATGTCCATACTTATGCATCCACACCATAGAGGCAGGCCCAAAACCACCCAGGCCCACAGGTAGAAAACTGCCATTTTGATGCCCAAAGGGCAATAGAATTCCATTCTTTGTGTTCAGACTCGGAAGCTTTAACCAGGTATAGTGTAGACATACCTCATCTTGATACTAGACTGTCTGCCTTCAGCTTGATTACATTATGGGAGTATGCTCCATTTCAACCAAAAGTTTTGAACTGATGGCTTTTGAACTTCTCTGCAGATTCGTGGATTTCCTACAATTAAGATCTTTCAGAAAGGAGAAGACCCTGTTGATTATGATGGTGGAAGAACAAGAGCTGACATAGTTACTCGGGCTCTGGATCTATTTTCTGATAATGCCCCACCACCTGAGCTGCTAGAGGTATCTCTGACTGTAACACTAACTTCTTTGCTTTTTCCCTCCTGTCTGTCCTCTTAAAGCTAGCAATTATTTTTTACAGAAAATGTTGACTGTAAATGGCTAAAATAAGGCATGTAGAGCCCTTTGTCTGGGTCAGACATACCAAGGGATCACAACTTCAACTACTAGAGCCTCATGTATTAAAGGATCTAAGTGAAGGTGTGTGGTCTACACCATGGATGCAGGGAAAACAGCGGTAGTACAAACTACCGTGTCAGCATGTTTGAATCCTTATTCGGAAAGAGAGGGTGAAAAGGTAGTTGAGATTGATCTGCCCTTAAATCCTTGGCCTCCCAACCGAGGCTACATTGTGGTGGATTTAGAAAGTCATGGCAATTTTGAAATAAAACACACTGTGTGTGCAGTGAGTAGGGAAACTACACAGCAGCATGGAACACTGGTGACATAGTCAAAAGTGCACACAGTTGACAACTATGTGAAAAAGTGATGTCCAATAAATTATCATTGCACACAAAAGGATTTATTTTTAAATTGATACTTTCTCAAGAACGCTCAGGTAGGTGCCTCTCCTTAAGAACTAGGTGGAAACCATTCTCTGTTAACTTTTATTTTCACTTCATGTGCTACATTTTAATCATTGACCTAAAAGCAAGAACTTTTGGGCAACACGGAGCAAAAAATTGCTGCCTCTATTTTACTAATGCTTTTCCCTCTAGCATGTGATTAAAACCAGCATACTGAAGGACTGGCTAGTTGACTTTCAGGATTAAACTAAAACATTTTGGATACGACAGAGAGCAGTGATGCTACTGAACAAACTTAGCCATGAGCTTTGTGGCAACGTATTACAGGTAGAGAATTTGGCATTGTTAATAACTTTATACATGGGCAGATTTGGGAGGCATTTTGCCCTCTGAGTGTACCTTTTTTTGTTTCTTTTTAAATGGCCCCAACAGAAGCACTGAAATCACTGTTCCTTCAGTGCAGTAGAATTCTTAGTGCTGAGGTTCTGGTATCACCACCTCTTACAGCATTGCAACACTACCCATTTAGGTTATTTTAAATAGATTCATCAGTAAGCTTCCAAGAGACACTTTTTCTCCATTAGGCAAGCAGCTACATCTTACGCACTCTGTCCTTGCATTTGGGTACAGATTGTCTACAAGGCATTATATGGTGTTTCAGAGGAGTTTCCCTCTAGCTGACTTTGGTGTGTTCCCATAGAAGTAATGGTCTCTTTTTATTTAGAGCAGTTTTTTTTTCTTGCCAAGTATGGCAAAGTTAGGGCCTAAGACTGCCATTGTGTACCTAAGTTATAAGATGCCATGACACCTATGGTGTCCTCTGTCTTTTACCCCAGGTCATTAATGCAGATATTCTGAAGAGTACCTGTGAAGCTCATCAGCTCTGTATCATTGCTGTCCTGCCTCATATTCTGGATACAGGTAGAATGAAATAAAGCATTAATCTTTCTTGCTTAATAAATTCATAGAAGAGCTGTTTCTAACCTGGTCCAATTCTGTCTAACAGGAGCATCGGGTAGAAATTCCTATTTAGAAGTCATGTTAAAAATGGCAGAAAAATACAAAAAGAAAATGTGGGGGTAAGTGTTATCACTGACTTGGCCATTCTTCTTGATAACAGGGTGCTATGCGAGCAAGGAGTTTGGGGAAGACCTTGTGTACCCATTGTGGTTCTATTTAATTCCTAAATTAAGACATGCCCCCAATAATTCTTTACATAGAAAATTAATAAATGTGTTGTGTTTTTGTTTTTCCATATATAGAATATAATTACTGGAAGGTTATTTTTAATTCATTTCCCCCCCCCCTTACTGTTGCAGGGGGGAGGCAGATGGTTTAGGGAGGTCAAACAGCTTGCCCTCTGCTTGTGCCACCTGTACAGACGCCTCCCCTTCCCCGTCTCTCCCAGCCTCTGCTCCTCTTTCACCCCCAGCCTCTGCTTCCCTTCTCCCCTTACCTTTACTCTGCACCATTGGGTTCTGTCTCTGGGGCATGGAGCAGGGCCTCAGCCCTGCCTCTGTAACAGCTTTGTAGCCTGCATGCTGCTACTACAGGCCAGGCTGGGGCTGGGCTAAGTGTCCTAGGCTGAAGCATGCATGGAGCCTCCTGGTGCAGAGTGAGGGAAAGGGGCAGGTGGAAGGAGCAGAGGCTGTAGTGGTGGAGGGAGATGGTGGGGTGCAGAGGCAGTTGGGGGGTAAGAGCATGCAGCCGCTGTGGCTATGGCTTCAAGTCTGGGTAGGGGTTGGAGTCCTAGCCATAGCAGCTGCCTGCCCCCCACCACCTTGTACTTGATTCTAAGAGGAGCCTTTTCCCTCATGTTGAAATGGGAGGGGAGGGGGGCAGGGAACCTCTTTTTCTAGAATTGACTAAATGCAGTATATAGGTACTGCAGGTATGTGCCCATCTCTGCAAAGGATTTTTGCCTACAAACCAAAAGCATGGTATAGTAAAATCACGGTGAAGGAATAGCTGGATGTTTTGCAGCCAGTATGACTGGCTCACCTGTCTCTAAGGAGTCTAGAGAATCAATGGCTTTCTTTCTTCTTTTTCCATGGCTTTTTCTCTTAAAATATCAAAATGAAGTACTTGGGTTTATGCTGTTAACTTTTTAATAAATTAGATTATAAAAGGTTTGTCTCTCCACACTGAATACTGGAAATAAACTCTTAGCCAGGGGTTGGCAACGTATAGCTTGCAGGCCAGATCTGGTCTACAAAGAATTTGGCTGCAGCCTGGGAAAGTCTGAGACTGTCCACACTGGAGAGACATGGGAGGTAGTGTCATGAAGAAGGAAGAGGGATCAAGGTGGTTTGGGTAATCTGGGAAGCGGATTTGGAGCATGTGGCACAGGGGCTGGGTCACAAGCTCTGGCCTGCAATGACAAAATACTGCCAACCCTTGATCTAAGCTGTAAAATATTTCTGGCTTCTTTGGAGTTGTCTCTTGGAAGTTAGTCTTTTTGTTTGACTTCTGAAATAAGAATTAGAACCATCTTGGTCATGCTTTGAGTTCCATGGAGTCTATGGGCTCTTTTTCTTTCTTTCTTTTTTCTTTTTCTTAATTCCTATAGAATGAAGGGTAGGACTGCTTTTGCAGAGCATAGTACAGAAATATGAACTTCCTAAGAAGATGGGAGGTGATATCTTAAATATGACCTGAGCCAGCCAACTCCTTTGCAGAAAATCATTCATCACAAGAGAAACTGAGTTAGCCAGTTTGGGGAATTAAATTGACTGAAACATGTTTCTTCTGGTCTCTTCTTGGAAACTTCAGACTTAAGCCAACCGTTTATGTTGTTTGTTGTTGTAGAATAATGGGGCTGAAAGGAACTTTAAGCATCACTTAGTCCTGGGGTGTCAAACTCATTGAGAGTTGTGGGGCCCATCTACAGGCCAGATAGGGCCCACAGACTGGCCCTACGCACTGCACCCAGTGCAAAGAGCTGGTGAGGTACAGGCGCCACGTGCATTGTGCACCAGACCAGCTTTGCGCACCCCATGCAGTGTGTGAGACTGGGGCTGGCACATACTGTATGCGGTGCATGGTGGTCTGCCACAGGCAGCACCATGGGCCAGATGATAGGGCTCTGCCCAGGGGCCATGTCTTCAATGCCTAGTCCAAGCCCGAATGCATGTATGTGACTCGACCCATTTTAAACCTTGTTTGCATGATCTAATTAGACTAATTCCAGAGCACTGCAGGTTTGCTGACTTGAATAGCAAAAGACTGCGAAGATCTGAGGTTCTTCAGTAGCGTGGACATGGTTGCTATACTGCTACATTGCAGAATTCTTGCCTTGTACAGGGCTGCACAGGTTTCCACCTACTGTAGTTGACATCACTCTGTAGGACAAGGATATGTTTGTTAATGTCCTATATTGCTTTTTTTTCTTAAAGGTGGTTGTGGACAGAGGCAGGAGCTCAGTCTGACCTGGAAAGCTCCTTAGGAATTGGAGGATTTGGATACCCAGCAATGGCTGCAGTTAATGCTCGGAAGATGAAATTTGCCCTTCTGAAAGGATCTTTCAGTGAACAGGGGATTAATGAGTTTCTCAGGTATAAAAAAAGTCTTTTGTGTCAAGTGGAAAAATGGTTGCATCTTTCAGTAACTATAGCTGTAAATGGGTTTTGCAATAACATGTTCCATAATAGTGCCCGGGGTAAATTCCTATTCCGAGATCTGAACTCCTTAATAAATGCTGTTTAGTTTGGAATTCTTGTTTGGGGGCTGAAGAGAGAGGAAACTCTCGGAAAATATAAGTCCCTGTCTCTGCAGACTGCCTAGTATAACTTTATTTGAAGCTCTGCCTGAAGAGGCCTTGCAGGATCATACTAGGCCCTTAAGCCTTAAAGGTGCATGTACACAAGTGCAAAGCGTGCTTTGACACACTGTAATTACAACATGTCAGAGCAGGCTTGATTAATCAAGTCTGCTGGAGTGTGATAATTGCTGTGCTCCAAGAACCTCTCACATCTTGTGTATCAGAGTCCCTATGCTTCAAAATGGAAGTGGCAGCACTTGAACTAAAGCTTGTCTAACAAGTGCTTTAGTTCAAGCCCCCCACCACCATTTTGAAACACGGGGATGCCAACACACAAGCTGCTGCAACACTTGAATTAGAGCAGCTCTCAGAGCTGCTCTAAGTGAAGTGCCCTAAATGTCCAAATACTTGGAAGTGGTTAAGGAGGCAGTAAGTAGTAACAGCAGGAGATCCAGCTGTCTCAGCTATGTAGCAGATTGTGATTATACTAACAGTTCTAGTCCAATAAAAAGCCATCCTTTTACACTGTGTGAAGATGAGTCTGCATCATTTCTACTTTCCTTAGTTTTAGTAGTGTATTGCAGAGCTGGATAGGGTTTTCTGTCCTTGCCTTTGCCCAATGTTTGTTGTATGAAACACAGTTTTATTTAATGGTTAAAAAGTTGGTTTTGTGCCTGTAGAATCAAAGTGGGAGTATCAATGCCTAGTAGAAAATAGCAATGCAGATCATAACCACAGATATGGGAAGTGTCTTCTGTTTCTTAAATTGTTTAGTGTTTTAAAAGCTGTAGGGAGATCTCTACTGGCCTTGGCAGGCAGTGCTGTTGGGCTGCCCTTAGGACATAAACAGTATGGCTGTGCAAAATTTCAGTAGCCAATTCGTTTTGGAGGTGTTTCAGCACCCAGAACACTGAATCTGAAATGAAACGGAAGGCTCCAAAACATCTCTGAAATGAAATCATTGAAAACATTTCAGAGTTTTGGAGCCAGGCTTGCAGGGAAATCAAAACTAATAGGATTGGGTGGGGGGGAGGACTGCTCTGATACTGACATCTGTAGCTGGCCAGTGTCTACAATCTGTCCCTGAGGTCCCTTCCAATCCCAGTGCTTTGGGGGAGGTACGGCAGCCTGCTGTTCTCTGCCACAGATCTGGGGGCTGCACCCCCCCAGGTGGGTGGTAGGGCTGTGCCGGACGGACTCTTGCTGGTGGGCATAGGCCTCAGATCTGCATGCAGGATGGGTGAATGCTGCCACTACCAGCTGGGGCCAGTGCCAGCACCCAAGTCTGCTCAGTGCACCCCTTGCCGAGTGCCAGGAAGACTAGTGCTGCCGCTGGCCCCAGCTAGCAGTGGCAGCCTGCTGTTATCTGCATGCTCTGCGCACTGTCCAGGAGTTTTTTGGGGTGGTTTTGTTTAGTTTTGTTTTTCTTAAGCCCCACACTCACCAGCTGCAGCAGTGGCAATTGGGGCCTCTCAGGGCTCCATGGCAGAGGCCCCCCATGTAGCACAAGACAATGCGGGCCGGCAGAGATTGGGGGTGCCCCCGCCGCCTGACACCTATGCAGCAGCTGTTGCATTGCATGGGTGCAGCGTGGCTCGGCAAGGGACAGCACACTATCCTGGAGCTGGGGCAGCTCCAGCAATCGCCCAGAGCCTGGCAGCGCTCAGCCCTAGCTCCCAGACAGCACATGACATCCTGCTGAGCCACGCTGCACATGTGCCATGGGGCAGCTGCCACACGGGTGCCAGGCTGGTTGCGGGGGTGATCTCCGTCGCCCTGTGCTGCGTGGAGGGGCTCTGCCACGTTGCCCAAAAGCCCCAATCGCTGCTGCTGCAGCCAGTGAGTGGGGCTTTAAAAAACAAAACACGCAGACAGTGTGCAGGGCATGCAGATGATAGCAGGTTCCTTTGCTGGCTGGGGCCAGCAGCAGCACCAGTCTTCCCAGCACTCAGCACAGGGTGCACCAAGCAAATTCAGGTGTTGGCACTGGCCCCAGCCGGCAGCGGCAGCATGCTGTCATCCCACACTTGGATCCAGGGGCCCCCAGATCTGTGTGCAGGATGACAGCATGCTGCCACTGCTAGTGAGTGATATGAGTTTTGCTTTGAACAGTTTGAGATGCAGCTTCACAAAACCCCCTGCCCCAACTTCTTGCAACTTGGCAGGCTTCATGCCCTTAGAAAGGACTACCATCCCTGCAATTTTCATCCGAATCAGGCAAGAAATGACAACGTTATACGCATTTTAGTGATTCCCCATTATAGCCTCTGGCCAAAACAGCACTGAAACTGTGAAACAGATTTGGCCAAATCAAAATGAGACAATGATCCAAAACGCTGAAACAAATCACTGTACTTCCAAAACACTGAATCGGAAACCAAAACAAAACAGCCGTTTCTCACAGCCCTAATAAACAGCCCGTGGCAACAGTGACATGAAGGGTTTAAGTAACTAAAGATTGGCACTGCCACCTTTTAAAGAGCAGGTCTTTCTGAAGTTGTCTCACTTTGCACTTTAGCTTAGCTGTCTTGTGTAAAGGAAACAGTAGAGGCACAATAGCTATAGTTATCTCTTATCATGCAAGCTAAGCATGGTGTTTCAGGTAATCTAATAAGAAGCCTCCACAAAGTTGAATTAAAATAGAGGAGGAACAAGAAAAAGCTTGACTCTGATCGGGCTTTTGTGAATTTACAAAATACAAGGTGTGTCTGCAAACTGGATTAGCAAGTGGAAGCTGAGATTTTTAAAGCAGAAGCTGTTCACCTTCTGATAAAAGGTTAGATATCTGACCTAAACGAGACGACAAACTTCTGCAGTTGGTGCTTTTAAGTACCCAACCTAGGGTGATAAAGTAACAGCAGTGTCCAATTTTTAATTGAAATAATTATTCCAGAAACTAGAAATAAGTTTTGGGCTTATCTTGCCTTTTGCTTTGTATATACTTTAAGTAGATCATTATAAAATGGTGCAGCACTTGTCCCCAAGCATTGCAAGGTGGGTTGCTAATAGATTTGCTTGTAAGAAGCCTGTCTTTTGTGGGCTGTATGGCTTTTTGTTTGTTTGGATTATCTTTGAGCCTTCAAAATTCAGTTGTTGTCAAAACTCTTCACAACTTTATGAACTTTACGAATTGGGACTAACAGATGTTTTGGTATTGGGGTTTATGTAACCTACATGTACTGTAGTACACGACACACCCAATTGCCTATTAAATGTACAGAAAGCAGTATTCTGTTTGAGTGGGTTGGTATTATGGAAACTTCATAAACCTTGTGTTTTATCTTTATTTTTTTTTTTTTTTCCTCTTGTTCAGGGAACTGTCTGTTGGCCGTGGGTCTACAGCACCAGTAGCTGGTGGGGCTTTCCCTAAAATTAACACAGTGGAGCCTTGGGATGGCAAAGATGGAGAGGTAAGAGGCATTTCAATTTAGGGCGTGTCAACACTTGGGTTAAAAAGTACTGGGCAGAGTAATTTACTCAGGGAGGCCTATGCTCACTCCAAACTCCTGCTTCTAGAGTAAGTGAAACAATAGTTTCCTTCACAAAATACTCAAATGACTGCCTTTTAAACTTGGTAAAAAAAACAGCTAGTTAACTCTGTAATGAGCACAAACTCGAGTGAATTCTCTAGGTGGAAAGACCTGCAGCCTTTAAAGATAAAAATCTGACCCAGGACCTGGAAGGTAACTGTTGGAAGTACCAAATGGGAAATAAAATGTTCAATATTATGTTTGAAACGCTACTTACTGCCCTATATTGGTAATGTGAAAACTTCATTTACATGAGGTGAAGGGGAGATACTATAGTGCATGAAAGTTGCATGGAATTTAGCTCTGCAGCCTAAACTCCAAACTAGTGTCATTGCATTGGACTTATCATCACTGATAGAAACTATGCTGAGTTCAGTGAATTTTTTTTATTTGCTTAAAGTCCAGTTACCTGAATGTTTTTGGTGTTGTTTTTTTTTAATGCTATCGGAGGCAGCAGTCATGTGTGAGTGCCAATAAAATTTTGGCAGTGCTACTGTAGGGAGCTTTCTGACTAGCTTGCACTATTGAAATTTTCCAAATTCCCACCCCAAAAAATTCATTTTCTAGTTCCTAGATAAGTTGAATGACTGCTTAGCATATGCTAAATTGCATAAAGTATCTCAGTCACACGAATTGACTCTTTTCCACTAAACTACCATTTGACCCTCTGTACTACTAAGCTTAAGCTTATTTTGGAAGACTTCTCTTGGCCTCAGCAAACCATTGACTTTAAGTCACTTGTCACAAAAGCATTAAGTATGCTGGTGTTTAAAAACTTGATTTACTGTTCCACAGCTTCCAGTTGAAGATGATATTGATCTCAGTGATGTGGATCTTGATGATTGGGAGAAAGACGAATTGTAAGATCTTTAAGTTTCTTGAGAGAGTTTGTGCAGCAGCTCGGTGGAACATGGTTCACAATCAGATGGATATTCCAGTGGCCTTTTCCCAGAGAAGTAGCACTTGACCAGCTCTCTGCAACAGTGAACTGTACACATCATGAGAAAACTGTGCAAAAATTCTATGAATTGTCATAACAGTAAACTTGATTGTATTCTGTGCAACACATTTTAAGGACAACATGAATCTTTCTTTGGAATGTCTTGGTTTTTATTTTGTTGATATGGTGTGTGCTGTTTGAATGTTTACCAGGATCTGTTACTGTAACCAGTTTTAAATGCGCCTCATTCTTTCATTCAGATGGAACTTGATCAGTTTCTGTTTCAATTAAAGAATAAAACTTAATATTTTTGACACACAGTGTTAGTTTTGTATGGAAAAAACACGGTGCACGTGATTAAGGCCATCCAGGTTCTGACAATTGTTGTAAAGTGAATAGAAAAATGAAACAGTGCTATAAGGGGTCTTAAATTACCCAGATGCTATAACATTTCAACAATTTTGGCCTAAAGCCTAGTTGGACTAGATGTTTTAGTTTTAAATGTGCTTTCTAGTCTTCCTTTTCCTCCTAGTCTCAGGGTTTTCAGCTTCTTGGAAACATGATACCGCAAGTTTGATCTTGTTATCTGCTACCAAGGAAGTGGGGTCACCTTTTGACTGGTGATCTTCTTTGCAAGGAAAATTGAAGATGGGAAGAGAAGTGCTACTGACTCGCAAGTCTCTTCTGTGTTGGTTGTGAGCCAGCATCCCACTAGGTTGTGAGGGAGGAGTCAGTGGGCTGCCCTAGATGCTCTGCACAGGGGAAGACCTGAAGCTGATGCAGAATGATCTCTTCAGAGGAGTTGTGGTGTTAGTGTTCATCCTGGCTGGATTTCAGCTTGGATAACTAAGTTCTGCCTTCTTAAATTTCCTCTGTGTTTTCCACTGGGTCAGGGTCTTTGTTTTCACTTCCCATCATATGTTGTTAAAATAATGATTTTACCCCAAGGTTGGCCACATTTTGGGGTTAGGCACAGATTTTACTGTTTTTGTAAAGTGAATATTGTAAAAGACAGGGGTGATTTAAAATGCTAAACAAATGTAACGTAATTGAGATAAGAGAAATTATAGTAGTGTCTGCCAGAGTTACCCTGCAAGTCACCAGTCTACTTGCAAGAGAAGGAGATGGTGTAGCTGAAAGCTCCTCCCATGGGTAAATTTTGTAAGATGATTCCAAACCCAGTCATGTCTATACAGTCTTGTGCTTTTTCTTACTGACGAGCTGAAAGGATGCACTAGTCAACTGGTCCAAAGCACAATAGTTATTAAAACATCCTTGTTTTAGTCTCTTGTGTTAGACTTCAGATTTCCAGTGAACCATCTGTAATGATTAACTTGGTGTCACCTACAATTTTCCAAGTCAGAAATGTAAATCATGTTTTTAAAAGTGACTTAGGCATTTAGGAGCCTTTTAAAAATGTCACTCATGCATTTTACTCTTTTATTTTGAGGCTAAAAAACATGATTTCTTTACTCTTGCTGGGTTGCTATTATCTGGCACTAGTCATATTTCAAAAATTCTATCCTGTGTTACAAAATCACGACTGTAGATTACTAACTAATCCAGTAACTGCTAGGCTATTTTTAACTCTAATTTTATTTTTAATTTCCATAAAGATGATGTTTCCTCCTTTTGTAACTAACAAAAATAAATACACCATGACACTTCCTTCTGGTGAAGTATGTTTTCTAACCCCAAGCATAAGAAACATCTTAAGTAATGAACACATTCTAAAACTGAATGGCTGGACAACTTTAAATTGCTATGCTACATATTAAGAAATTCTTACAAAATTATCCTGTAAATGAAGTGTCTGCATTGTTTTTTGACTCAGTCACTTAAATACAGTCACTTTACTGAAACAATGGGGACTGGCTAATGAGTAAGTTGAGCCTGGTTTGATTGATTTAACTGTACTCTAGAAGACTGAGGTCAATCTTGAAATAAACATAGGGATAATATTCTTGATTGCTCAGCTGTAAGCCAGGAATATCCACACCAGCCTGAAAAGGAAATAAAGTAATTTAAGAATGAGACAAAAACTGTTGGGCTGTTTCCAGATATGATTAATCGCATTTTTACCTCTTTCAGTAAAGATCAGTGTACTCCTTACACTTGCTCTAATGTTCATGAGAAGTCATGTTTGGTTCTGACTGTGTGGATGCATTCCTAAGTATTTTAGAAAGTGTAACTTCTTTTTTTAATCTATGGTTCCCAACTGATCTCACCCTTCCTGCCCTCCCCCTGGTTGTATGCTGTGCTTATTCATTAGGATATATGTGTTTGGGTTTGGATGTTTTGTAAATTTTGACTTTTAACTGAAAGGCTTAGGGAGAAACTAAGCTTCTTGATTCACAGGAAGTGCAATACTGGCTTAAACTGGGGTTCATCTCATTCAGTATCCCATCCCTGACCATGGCCAGCACCACATGCTTTGGAGGAAGATGCTTTTTTAGGCAGCTGTGGGACAATGTGTCCCCACACTAGCCTCAAAGATTTAAGTCTCTGAAGCGCAAGGTATCATTTAATTTGGTCCCCAGACCTTGAGCACTTGGGTAAAAGCAATACAAGGCTAGCAGATGTAGTCTTGTTCAGAACTAATGGCTGTAATCTCTCATGCCGTAGTAGAATGAAGACGTACATCCATGATACTTGCTGCTGCTACTTCATCCAGGTGTTTGAAGACCGCATTTAGAATGTCTCTCAGACGTTTTGAAGACTTTTTGTTGGGTTGCAGCAGCATTGCCTGGAAATTCACTGGTAGGCCATACCTGTAAATATGCAAAAGTACACTAAGCTCTGCGGGTAGGGTATTGGCTGCATATCTCTCCACAGACTCTTCCTCCTACCTTTCCAATCTTGTATTGACCTATTTCCACCAGCTCACCCCTCTCCATCAGTGAGGCTTGTATTTCACTTGTCCTGCCTCCCTCATCAGCAAATTACCCTGGAGCCCTTTTACTTCTGAAGCTGAAAGTGGACTTCTCCTCCCAATACTACATGCTTCATTTTACCCTCCCTTGGAAATGCCCTTGCTTAACTTTTCCATCACTGTCAAGCATCAACTGTTTTTCTTTGCTACTGCCTGCATTTTCCCTATGCACATCTGAACTGCTAAAGCCAATTCTGTGAAGTGATAGTTCTCCCCTGAGATGAGTAGAAAATACTGAATGAAAGTAAATTGCATTTTGACTTCTACAGTGATCTGTTTTGTGCATTTATTCACTTACCTCAGAACAGATTCAACAAAAACTCTTAAGGCTTTTATGTGAATCCAAGCTACAAATGCTTCACTGAAGTTCACTTTCAGCCAGCGCAATAGTGGACCCTATGGAAATAACAACATTATGTTTGTTTCATTTCTTGTTTTGAAAATAGTGATGATGGTACTAAGGGTGAACCATGTACATTGGTGACTGTGATCTCAGAGGGTAGGAAAGATCCCACCAACATGGGATGTGGGTAACCTTGCTGTGATTTCTGTCTTATATGCCATACTGTTAGAGCTTGGGCAAGTCTCTCTGTTTCTCCCATGTATAACAGAGATACTTCCCTACCTTCAGAGGGGTACTGGACATGTGGTGATTATTATAAAGGCCATGTCAATGCATATTGTATTGATAAATTACTTACATACTGTTGTTTCTTGTCAGAAGCTAATTTCATCATTTCTTCCTTTTCACATTTCAGTTCTCTCTCATCAAAATAAAATTCTCGAACTATGAACCTTAAAACAAATGATATGGCGTTGACTATGGCTCAGCTGTGTTCTGCTTCTAGCACTGGGGTTGGCAATTTGGTCTGGAGGGCTACTTAAGGCATTTTGGTGAGCTGTTATGGGCTGGGGGGTACTGACCTGGTGCAGCAGAGGGAATTTGATCTTATCTGGGGGTGCCAGAAAGAGTGGGTGAATGGGCAGGACTTCCATGGAGACAAACCCAGGACCCCTATGGGCAGTGCACACTTGGCTGGGTGGGTGGGATGGGCCTGCAGGCATATAGGGAACAGCAGGTGGGCCAAGGTTGTGGAGTGATGACAGCAAAGGGCCAGGGCAGGGGGCAGAGCTGCAATCCAGTCCCCACATGTCCCTGTGACGGGCGCTAGTTCCACAGGCAGGGATGTGCCAGGGAGCAAGTCATGGCTCTGCCTTGAGGCCTAGCCCCGCTCTGTCCCCACTCCATGATCCTGGTCCCACCTCTGCCTGCCCATCTGTCCTGTTACTGAATGCTACTCCCCACCTGCCTGCAGCCCTATTTTACCCGCTCAGCCAAGCACACCCTGCCCCTGGAGTCCTGAGCCAGTCTCCATGGAGACACTGCCCACCCACCTGCTGTCTGGGACCCCTAACAGTAGGTGCAGGGCAGATAGGCTGGAGTGCTTGGACAGCAGGACTGAGTTCAGTGGTGGCACTGCCCCCCGCACCTAGGGGCAGCTGGACCAGCCACATGTGCCATGGCTCAGGCTGCCCCCACAGCTGTGTCACGTGGGGCCCAAGAATCTGCCATGAGCCGGAAAAATGTGCTTGGATTGGATCCAGCCCATGTGCTGTATTTTGCCCACCCCTGTTCTAGCACAATAGGCTTTCATTCTTGAATTGCCAACTATGTAACAAGTACTGTGTTGAATGGTGGGGAGGCAAGGTGGAGTTGCATTGCTCTCGCAGGAGTTCTACAGGCAAGCAGCAAGGGCAATTCCAGAAGCCACAGTTGTAGGCAGATGCTGGGCCACTCTAGGAGTGTGCTGACCTTTCCCTGTCTGTAGTATGGATGCTGCTGGCTAGTGTAGAGTCACCTTTTCCTGCTCCCTTGACTGAGGGCCAACAGCACCATTAGAAATAAGCAGTTCGTGTATTTAGCAGAGTGCAAAACTCACATTTGTCCTTGGTTTTTGCTTCTTGGACAGGGGCTCCCAATGTCCTTTTCCCCACCCCAGTCACCAAGATGATGGCCTGGCCCACCCTGCAGATGCAGTACCTGTTTTCTCTAGCTTTGGCTTTGAAATCATCCATCACTTTTCTAAACAGGGTCACAGTGAAGAGTCCTCCTTCTGCATCCTCAGCGATCAATCTGCAGAAAGAAAATGCACTGCTGCAACCCAGCACAGAGAATGCCCTGTGCTTTCATTACCCCTGCTTTTGATTTCTTTTCTCATTTGCAGAAATTAAGTGATCCCACGAACTCTTTTACAGCCTTCTACTGCAGCAACTGCATTTGGAGGCCAAATGTTCATTGATGGCACCTGGAGCAGGATGTGAGCTTTTCTATGCCTCAACCCATCCAGGAAGCAAGGTTGGTTGAAGGCTGTGTTCTTTCTTTCTGTTCTTCCTTCACTGTCCCGTTTTACTCCGTTCCTCTTTCTTTCTGCCCAACTATTCTGAGACAGGAAGCAGCAAGCATTCCCTGCCTTTCCACATCCTGCCCTGCCTCCTCAGCTTTCTCCAGCTCCCACAAGTGGCTCATCCGCTGGTTTTCCAGTTGATATTATCCCCAGGTCTTGTCTGGTTCCTTAGTTAGCCATCCCCTCCCATCATGACCTACACTTCCCTGCTGCTGACTACCCGCTGGGGTATTTCCTTCCTGGTAAGTACAAAAGGGCAAGTGTTAAGTTGGCTTTGCTTTTATAAGGCATAGTTTTTAAAATTCATTTAACCCATTATGGTAAAAATGGGGGGAAAAAAGATACCAGCACAACATCTGATATTTGGCTGTAAAAGAGTGAATTTGACCTAGATGATTATAACACGCTCCTCTCTTCACACTGTTAGTAGGCAAAAGAAATGGTTTGATATTTGTGTGGTAGGTGTTGTCATAAAATAACAAAACAACTGACATTCAAAGGGAAAGGTAAGATTATTGGAAATCATATTTTTTTTTAAGCTTCTCCATTCTGCTTTTTCCCCACCACCAAGCACCTTTAAGTAGGGATTGAAGTGGAAATGACAGAACTGACCAGATTGGTAAGTTTACATAGAGCCCTTCTGTTATGTATACTTCCCTTTCCACAACCCAAGGATTAAGATGAAAACAGCACAGAGATCCTTGGAGTAAACAGGGTAGCTAGCTCAGGAACTTCACTCACTTTGTGGATCGAGGTACCACCATATCAGACAGAGACTCGTATGTTTTCTGCCACTGTGCGTAGTTTGACCTTTGGACAATACACAACAAAACACATCAAGTCGCTGAAAAGACAGATTTTTATATAGGTGAGTCCATCGATTTCCCCTGTGCTTGTGGCCACACCACTCCCCAGGACCTTATGCAAACATCCCAGATCCTTGAGCAATTGTGATCAACCTGCCTGCTAGGTTTTCTCGTTCTCCTTAAAAGCGGAGTTCCCTTCGCATCCTCATCCCAAATTCCTCCTCTGTCAAGGTCAGCCCAGCTTTGAGGTTTGTTTTTCTAAGGTAAAGCCAAACTTGCTTTAAAATCTGATATTCTTGTGCCCCAAAAATCAAGAAGCAAGAGCCATCATGAGATCTGGGAAAAGCGACTTACACTGAAAGGCTGAAAGATCCATGGTTATCTGACTGAAGAAGAAAAGACTGAGGGGAGATTCAATAAGCCAAGTACCTGAAGGGTGATTATGAAGAAGATGCAATAGACCTTTCTCTGTGGCTGTAGGGGACAGAACTAGGAGCAGTGACCTCAAACTACATCAGAAAAAAATCTAGGTTGGAGATTAGGAGGAACTTTCTAACTATGAAAGCAGTCAAGCTTTGGAACAGGCTACCTAGTGAAGTTATGAAGTCTCCATCCCTGGAAATTGTCCAGAGCAGGTTAGACGGACACTCAACTGGGATGGTTTAGATGGGGATGATCCTGTCTTAACCAGGGGGCTCATAAGGTCCCTTCCAGGCCTACTTTACTGGGATCAGGGAGGAGATGGTTCCTAGATTTCCACTGGGAGCTAACACTTTCTCCTAACCCTGGAAAGACCTGAGGTAACAGACTAAACATTTACACCATTCTGTACACAAGGCTGTTGCAGGTCATTTCTAGACATTTATGCTATTTATTAATCTGATTTTTTTTGTCCCTCACTTTTTCAGCCCTGTCTACTTGGGAGTAATGATAAAAAAAAAAAAATTCCCATCATGCAGAGAGAGAGATGCAAAACAATGAGCAAGCCAGAAGTACAATAAAAATATTTTTACTCGTAAAGACTTCCCTAAAAATAGGTTTTCCATCAGATGTCTGTCATGGACAGAAAACATCAAATGTGAAGAGATAACCAAGGTTTTGTGAGCTATGTGAGAACTCAAACATTTACCAATCTTGAGTGATGTTGTCATCCTGTGTGCCAAGCAGATAAATTCCTGTGTGATTTTAGAATTGAGGGATTTCCTACATCCTGGAGTCCTATTCCCTGAAGTTGTAGGTGACTATAATCATATAATCCCTTTTGTAAACCCATCAGGCTCCTCCTAAAACCTCATTAAATTTTACTTTAACTGCTCCTGTTGGGAAATTGCTCCCAAATCTCACTTCTCTGGTGGCTGGAAATTAAAAGAATGTTTCTAACTTTAATTTATTCATGGGCTAATATAGTCTTTAGATTCAACAATCCTCCTCCCTCTGAGGTGTTAACCCCTTGCTGTATTTCCCTGATATAGCAGGCAGAGATCCAAACCAAAAATCTGAATCCAGGGGTTGGATGACTGTTTGTCTTCCTCAGGCCAAGGCACAAACACGCGCTCACACTCAACTAGCTTACTTTGGAACTACGACGACAAGCGTGATGAGGTATTCAGAATTCAGCACAAAGTCCTCTTTATGCACAATATCAGCTAATGTACGCGTCAACAGATTTCCCCTAGACCAAAGTAAAGAAAGAATCATTAGTGGAAACGTGCATAGGTGAGTACAGCTCAATGCCATACAATCTCAGTGCCATAGAGAATTGCTCAATACTGTTATACACTGAAGACCTCCAGATAGGCGATGTCTAAAAAGCTAGAAAAGTAAGAAGGTTGCTTGTTTGTTGTAATTAAATAGTTAAATCTTGGGTGGACTCAGTTCTGTTGGCACATAGCTGCCTTGCACTAGGACAATTTATTCCCCTTCCCATATGAGGATATACTATATTGGCATAACTATCCAGTGTTGTGCCTCTTAGACAAAATACAATTAAAACACTTCAACTTTTGAGTATATGCAAGCCTATGCACAAAAGGGCTAGGACTGTTGTCAGCACAGACCATATGGTTAGGGGCTTTTACTGTCTAAGAAACCCCATCATGGACCAGGACTTCACTGTGCTATTTGCTGTGTGAACAAAGGACAAAAGATAATCCCCAGGTGACAAAGCTTACACTGCATGCAAGACGAGAGACAGCAGATGGATTCATACAGATGGGATGGGGATAACAAGCAAGTGCAGCAGTCAGAGCATATCTGCAACTTAATTACTGACCAGTGCAAAATCAAAAGGAAAGTTTTAAAGAAGGACCTGCATAGTTGCTGGGTTAGTGGTGGGTAGTTTTAAGGCTTTTACTAAATCCTTCAGTTGTTCTCTATGCCTTATTTAGTACCTATGGAAGGACTGTTTCTGCCATATTACTTCATTGCCTTCAATTTCCCAGGAGGTCAGGTAGGGTGTCAGGGACCTGGGAAGAGGCCAATTCATCTGGACCACATCCTAACTACTGGGCCAACAATGGGTGTCCTCTGCCTCAGGCACCAAGCACTCTTCTGGTGAGTAGGGCTTTGGGGGAGGAACCATGGGGAGATGAGGGTTTGACTCTTCATTTAAGTAGGGGGGGGGGCATTGAACCTGAATCTCCCATGCCATACATCAATGCCCTAACTACACTGCTACTGGCTAAAGGTGGGACAGTGCTGGCACCACAACATACCAGTATTTTGCCAGATGAAACTGTTCTATGAGTCCAGGCTGAAATTGTTCTGGATGACTCAAGCTGCATTTCTGGAGAATGCCATTAAAAATTACAACCAGTTCTACAAAAGATGCGCACGTATAGGATCCCTGACATGATTAAAGAGCATAAACAAGTAAAGAGAGAAGTAGCAATATGTAATAAAGTTAGAGGGAGTGGAACTAGGAGTAAAGGGAGGACATGAGGAATTGGCAAAATACAAGCTGGAAATTCATGAGATGCAGACAGCTATATGAGAGTCACCTATTGCTTGGTACTTGTAAGCCACACTGAATTCAGCACTACTGTAGGAAACAGCCCAGGGTTATATAGGGATGCAGTGGCTGGCTCAGTTGATCTTCCCACGTCTACTTTCTAATTCTGCAGGATCAGTTCAGAACAAACGCAATGACATTTGGTCCTGATGTTACCAAACATTTTTGTGGAGCAGCTTTTATAATGCAGCATTAGGAACTTTAGCCTCAGAAAAGAGAGGAGTCCTACTGGCCTGATTTTGTGGATGTGTTGAACACCCCATCTTGTACCGAGCTTAGCTGTACTGGTGGATGAGCAGAACATCTGAAAATCCGGCCAGTGGGATACATGCCAAAAAAAGCACAAGCACTCGACATACTGACAATCACGTGCTGTACATACACGGTCCTTTTCTCCAGGTTTTGCAAGTTCCCTTTAATGTTGTTGTAGACTTCTGCTCGGGACTTCAGGTCTGTCTCTATCTGTGTGATTTGCTAAACATAAAAGCAAAAATGCAACTGAAGTAAACAGGCTGTTTTCATTTGCAAAGCTAACAGTAATGTAGTATAAACAGAAAAATGCAAGGAGCTGCACTGAAGGCTGATTTTGTTAGGTGGGAAAAAGTCTGGTCATGTTTCCAATGCAGTCTTTTAGCAAGGCCAGAGAATTAGAAAAGAGTTGCATGTATGTTGCTGAAGGATACTGCCCTTGCAAAAAGGCAGGTCTTGCTGAATTTAAGGAAATCATTGTAGGAAAAGTGCCTGTTAACAAAGTACACTGTTTCCATTCCTTCCTATCTCCCTGCCCTCTTCTATCGAAGGTGTTGGGTACTTATGTGGTCCCTCAAGCCAAAGAGGACTGGATGTGACCCCCTCTGAGGTCTATCAATATTGCTTCCCAGAGGCCTGACCCTGCATTCACTGACACCAGTGGCAAAGGTCCCATTGATTTCAGTGGAGCAGAAGCTGACACGGCTTGGAGGATGCATAGCTAAACTAGGCAAAATTCCAGCCTGAAGGCACTGCCTCGTTAGCATTCCTCATGTCAGATTCACAAAGAGACAGCTCTGGATACTACTCTCACCACTCCCCAACAATATTCATATTTGTGAAGCCATTTTAGAACTGATCCAAACTCATGAATGGCACGTGCCCCCAGCAGCTAAGGGGGCATGGTGACGGCAGGAATGGCAGGAGCCCAGCGGCAGTAAATGGGGGAGCTCCCACAGCCACCATTGGCACTGTCAGCAGTGGGGGTGGGGAGCAGGGCGAGTGCCAACCAAGGGGCGGCAATCACCCAAAGCCGCCCCCAGCAGGGACTGGGGACTGCCCGCAGACACCACCGACGCTTTTTGCAGGGGGTGCACTGCCATGCTCAGGGGGTATACAGGTACCCACGTGCAGCCCCAACACATCGCCCCTGCCCAAACTTATGGGTATTTCTCAAACTCCATCTTATCATTTACAGTAAAAAGGGGGCCGGCTCTCAAATGACCTGTTGTACAGGGATGTAGCAATAACACAGGAAACAGAGGCAGGCAGCTGCAAGGAGTGGAGAATCTGGTTTAAAATGACTATGATTTAAAGCAGGGGTGGGCAGTTATTTGGGCCCAAAGGCCACATGGGGAGTTTTGATGAGCAACAACTCACCAAAACTACCTATGGGGCTGCAGGAGGGCAGGGCGCAGTGTTCAGGGGCAGGCGAGGCCGGGATGATGGGGCCGGGTCATGGGGCAGTGACAGCTTGGGGCCAGGGCCCAGGCCACTCCCTGCAGTCCCTGCCCTCTTGGGGAAGTGTGGGGTGTATGTGGGGAAAGTTGTGAAGGGGTGTATGTATGTTGCAGGGAGGTGCCTGGGCACTTACACACATGCAGGGAGGCTGCTCTGATGTGCTGTAAATCCAGTGTTTTGGAGCAGACTCTATTAATTGTGTCTGCTGCAGCACAGAAATTAATATGCCCCAGTGGCCTTCAGTGTCACATGTATCAGTGTCCCCGCACTGAAAAATGGTGGTGGGGCACTTTGAACTAAAGGTTGTAGAACAAACCTTAGTTCAGAGTGCCCTGCCGCCATTTTTTCAGTGTGGGAACACTGATACATGTGACACTCAGGGGCTTTTAATTACTGCAGCTCACTAATTAAAGCGTCGCCCCCAAGAGCATATCTATAAATGCCCGAGGTCTTGGGAGCATGCCAGGGGTGAGGGAAGCAGGGCGGGGAGGAGGCAGGGGGCATGTGCAGCAGAGCTCATCTGGGTGATGCAGTCCACAGCTGCCCCGGCGGCTTGCACTGCACTCCCACCAATGCCCACAGCCCGGCCCAGGCCTGTGCGCGCAGCTTCCAGCAGGGCTGTTCCTGGTGCGGCTGCAGCCAGTGCCTGGTGCTCTGTTCCTCCCTCCCACCTCCAGCACTGTCTCCTGCTCCTGCCAGTGCCCCCTGCTCCTGCCACTCACCCTACACTGCATCTCTGTCCTGTACACCTCCGCTTCTGGGAAGATTGGGGGGGACAGGACTGGGAAGGGCTGTGGCATGACCAGGCTCTCTTGCCTGTGTTAGGCTTATTACAAGATAACCCTAATGGAGACAGAAGTGCATACTTCTGCCACAGCCCTTCCCAGTCTGGCTGTGCACAAGGTGCTCAGGCCACTTTCAGCTGGCACCAGCAGCAGTGGCAGCACCCCGATGGAGAACTACTGGGGTAAGCTGAGGCAACACAACAGTCATTCTCAACTGGGGTGCTGCTCTGTTCAGAAACATTATGGAGGGGGGCCCTGAAACAAAAAACACTGAGTCACTGGTCCAGAGGCTCCAACAAGGATTAGTTTATATTGCCTTGGGGACTATAGTTCTTTAAATAGCAGTTAGGCCCTACTCTTGTTAGCTTGTAGCTCCAGTGCTACAGGGTAAATAATTCAGCCAACTTGCAATGTATTCTGGATTACTATAAAAACAAAGACACTGAAGGAAGCAATACAACAGTTTTCACATGGAGAATATGTTAATATATATTAAGAGCAAAATGTTATCATGCAGAAGAACTATGATTAAGGTGCAAAAGAACTATATCAACATGTTCTAGGCAAAATTGTTAAGTTATGTTGGCAACTTCCAATAACATGACTAGGTTTCATCATATATCACCAATCTTTAATTCTGAAAGAACTAAATTGTTTCATTATATAAGGTTTGCCTTTGGTTCTGACTCCTATTCACATTAGAGTCAATGGGAGCTTTGCCTTTGATGAGGAAAGACTCGCAACCTGGCACCACTCTCATAAACCAGGAAAGGATAATACTCCCCATTTGGATGCCTTTTAAGACATTTGTGAAGGTGAGTTACCTTTGTTAATGCTTCTGCAATATTCTTCAATGGCTGCTTAATGGGATATTTGGCCATGTCCCATTCAAACCGCGTCAGATAACTAATTAGGTCAACTGAAAGGACATAAATAGAAAGGTTGAGAAATATGCTGAAAGTTTGGAGCTATTCTTCACTTGCAATCTCAACACAACAATTCATTAACAATGGAGATGGGCGCAAACCAGACTCCAAGGCCTGAACATCCCCAGAGTTCTGATCCAGATCTGGACTTCCCAAACATGGGTAAGGTTCAGAGACAGACCTAATCTTTTATTAGATCTTTTGCTGAGCCAGCCCATCTTGCATTACTATTCAAGTCTCATTAAAGCAAATTGTTAACAAATTAGCCACTGTTAAATTAGTTGTCCGTTTTCTGTCCCAAAACATATACAATAAGGTAAGAATATGTTGATTAACCAACCTTAGTGCTGATCATTAAATTACAGAATGACTCAAGTTTATAATCATGTCAGCAAGACTTATCACTGGGGTACTGACTGGAGTCAATGAAACTGCAGTGTCCATGGTCACTGAGAGAAGAATGTGATCCAGTTTGCTAATGATGCAGCTCACACTGTTACTCATTTCTGACTCAAATTCCTGCCTAGAGTCATATCTAAATAACAGCTGATTCAAAATTGAGCAAGGGGCTCTTGATTTGCCTTTCTAAGTGTACTCATCACAAGCCTACACTCAGCTAATAGAAATAAAGCTGTATAATGTTTCTACAAAAGGATACATCAATCACAGTTTCCAAAGTTAGAAATTCAGGACAAATTGTTACGCATGCAGCCTCCCCCCACTTCCCCTCCTAACGAATGAGTCACACTGCAACTCAGTAATGGTAGCCACTGCTGATTCTCGTGATGTGGAAGAAATTGACTTCTAGCGAGCAAACTGAGACTTAGCAAGACGCATTGGTTATGAAACAGTTCTGTTTTCTGGTACCATCAGGGCTGCCCTGGGCATCAGGATGTGAGACTACCCTGCCTACTCCTTTCAATGCACTGGCAAATGCACTATATAATGTGTGAGATCTGTAATGAAAAGTTGCCCTACTGCTGTAGCAACAAGTTACAGTTCCTGCCCCCTCTTGTGACATTAAATCCACTCTCCAGTCTGCTGCTATCCTTTCCTTTGACTTCTCTCACCCCAGGGAAGAGTCAGTTTACCTTATTAAATTTCCTGTGTGTGGAAAATCTTGTATTTTCAAATACAAGAAAGAATGCTTGGTTACTTATCAAGAAAAACCACATCACAAGAGGTAGAGAGCACTGGAGTGCATGTCCCTTCTATTCCCACATAAGACAAAAGATAGGAGAGGCCAGATAAAACAGTATGAAAAGCCACCACAACGGAGATAGGAGACAAAATCCTGCCCTTTCTCTATGAGCGAGCAAGAATCAGTAAGATCCTGCACTGAGACAGGTGGAAGACAATGCTGGAGAGACCTTGGAGGGAGACCTCCTCCCCCGCCCTTGCATAGCTGCAGCAGCATCGTGCAGAGAGCGAGTAGATGGACCAAAGCACAGAGGAGCCACCATTAGAACAACTTACAGGCCCCGAGGTGGTGAAAAGCACCTAGAACTATTCCATGAGTACAGCGGGTTCTGGGACCGGGCTCTGGCCTCTGTGCCACGCTAGAACTAGCAGGCACGACGCTTGTGACGAGCACACTAATTCTGCGCACCGTGTGAAGGTACGCCGCATTCCCACTGATGTCAACAAGCAGGTCTTTTAAGGATAGACATGGGACCAAACTCCAGGTTTGACCTTCTCAGACATGTAGTTCCATGGAAAGACTGTGTGACTACAGCCCACCACAAGGCCTACTGGAAAAAGGCGCAGGACTATATAAGGCTCCCTTTGACTTGTTGTACTGGAAGTTTTGGAAAGAATTGGGACATGGTTCGGAAGAGGCCTAAGGAGAAAGGTGTTGGGAGATAAAAAAAAAAATATAGCAGCGTTTTTGGGTGGAATAGGGAGCTGTTGCATGGTTAAGATCCAAGTCTGAGTAGGAGCTTTGTGTGCAAGGAGGCTTTGGCTCAGCTGGGGTAGGGTGCTCCTTGAAATAACGTGGAAACTCCTGTAAGCATAAGGAAGGGAGAAACTGGATCGAGTGGAGTTAAACCTTGGAGAGAAAGTAAAATAAGCCATGAAGGAAAGCTGTAGCTGGGCTGGAAATGTGGAGATTAGATTTTCATGTACTCCTTTCCCCTGGAAAGTGGAAACCCTCCGATTTGGCTGAATCTACTAAAATCAGCCTAAAGCTTGGAAGGAAATTGAAGAAGATGTGTCCCTCTGTTGGGCAAGTAAGATATCTATCCAAGTCCCTTTAGTATTCATTTCCCCCTGATGCACTGAGAAAAGTGATGTTTATTACAGAAGATGTACCTCACCTACATTTACCAATCAGGCAAGGCATGCTTCAACACAATATAGCGCTGTGTGCCGCTAAGGAGATGTGGAGACTGCTAATGAACAAGCATGGAAGATAGCTTTTCTAAGCAGACTTTGCTGACCACTGTCACCAGACAGGGAGACCCAGGACACTCAGTCCATTGGGTTCAGGTAGTTTCTGCTTCTGAGCTCTTCCCTCACTTTGCCTGTAAGTAAATATTAACACTAGCTTCTTTCTGTATTCTCTGATCTGCTGGCAAGGCCAGCTCTAAGTCTCCAATGCCTAACTCTCTCACGCTGCTCTTCAGGGAGGTCTTTCTAAGCATTAGCTTAGTCACCAATTCACATTCAAACACCTCCGAACACTTACTTCTGCCATTTCATCCACAGGAGGAAGTAAACACGCACACAGACTGAGCTGTCTTCCTGAGTAACTGCTGATCTGGGTGTTGTAGCTTGTGGGCTACATTCATATGCTGTGGAGTGGGTGATTTTTTTTTTTGCTTAATGGATTCCATAGCAAGTGAAAGAAAGGTCCTACGAAACGTCTTGTTATGTTAACTAACTTAGAAGTCATTTTGAAGCAAGTGTAACTAATTGAAAGATGGACTCTGTTTTCAAGGTTTTCTGTACCCCGAATGGCTCACAGGATGGTTGGGGGAAAGATGGGAGGGCTTAAGCAGCTGAATAAGGAATCTGTAGTCCTAGTTTTATCCTTCTTCAGCCTGACGTTGTTTGTAAGAAGAAAGAGGTAAACACTGGTAGGCATTGGTATGCTCTGTGTGTGAACTGCTAATAATTTTTATGTAACTACTTTGATCATATGGCATTTAACCTCTCCTCCATTGCAACTAGAACTTGGAAATCCTACACACGTCTTCAGAAGCATTTGCTCTAACTTAGAGTTGATCCTATCCATATTTATATCTTTTTATTTTATTCACACTAATCCAGGCAAAACGTAAGTGTCGAGCAGTTGTGCACAACTGAAGGTGGTATAGTTGCTGATTTGGAACCTGGCTTGACAATACAGGGAGGTACTCTTCCCCAAATCCCTTGCTGGAGCTCTAGTACTGAGGCAATTCAGTCAGTCCATCTGTATGTATTTTCCTTTGTGTGACTCTCTTGCAAGAACCAAACTGAAAATGCAGCCCCCAGCCAATTAATTCAACTGTGGTGGAGTTAATAGGCCACATGCTGCTCATTCCTGAGCTTCAAAGCATTAGAGCGTCTGTAAAGCTCTTGTTTGAGGTTCTTCCCTACTGCAAAAGCCTTGACTCAGTGCAGTATGCCTGACTACCCAGCCCAGCTCAACCTTCTCTGTTGAGTACCAGATGTTGGCAGAAAAGTCCACATAATTAATCCAGACACAAGGACTTGATCTAGGGGGATCTTTTTAATTCAAAGAATGAACACACTCGAGGAAATTGCTGCTAGCAATTACAACTATTTGCATTACATTAACACTCCATGGCATCAGTTAGCTCAGTGGGGGCCAACTTTTTTGGTAAGCATGCCACAACGTACCCTCCCTGAGTGCCACTTGGATCCCCTTTTCCTGCCTCATCTGCTGCTCTGCTTTCTGCTCCCTGCCCCCTCTGCTGCATGCCATGGACAGAGGCTGCCTGTGTTACTCGTGACAGGCATGCCATGTGATGGGTTGGCTGCCCCTCCAAGTTAGGTAGTATAAAGGGTCCCTATTGTGTTGGCAGTCATACGAACATGGGAAAAAAGACCCTATCTGCGTGAAAGTGCGTAGAAGTCATGCTGCCGTGCATTGATTTGTTTGTTTGTTTGGCAGGGAGGGGAGGTTTGAAGCACAGAAACTTCTAGTGTGGCAGTTAGTCACGAATTACTTACTTGGCTGTTTTTTAAATGTTTTCCCTACACACTGTTCAATTCTGCAGAATGCTCATGTATTTCCACCCCTGACTTATCCCTCATTGTCTATATTCATTTTGAACTAACTGTGCTACACAGACTATTTTATAAAGCCAAGGTAACTTAACTGAATTCAGAGTTGGAGATCTCTTAGATTGACACTGCCATTAAACTGAAAATAAAACTTGGCCTAAATGCTCTAGGAAAGTTTCAAGGCCTATGTAGTAGGTAGGATTCTTCTGCAGGAATTAAGTTTCCAGCTATCGTGGTGGTGTATCCCCAGTCAGTCAGACATAGACTTTTGCTTCTTACAAAAGACACTTCCCACGCGACCCCAACTAAGCAGCTACTGTGGCTGTTTCATGGTATTCCAAGGATCCCACACACACATCAAGCTAAACAGGTATCGTGTTCCTGCATTTCACCGTCACCAAGTTGGATGGCCCTCTGTCACACACAACTCAGCTGAGATCAGTGAGCTTGCATGAGTGTAACTGAAAAGAGAATTTCTCCTAATATGGGCTAGCTGGCTGAAAAATGAAAGTAGGAGGCAGGTACTTATATCTTATCACCTTGGTAAAGTCTATTTTCAGCTGTAAACTGGAGATAAGGACCATCCCCATTGGTGTTCTGGAACTTGGTTAGTTGCTGTCTTTAAAGCAAGACACTGTAGTGTGTTAGGATAACTCAAGGATTCCTGGCTGGGATGACCTAGTTGGGGTTGGCTCTGTTTTGAGCAGGGGAGCCAACTAGACAACCTCCTGAGGTCCCTTCCAACCTATTTTTTTATGGTTCTATGAAGTGGACTGAAAGGATTTCATCTTGTAGGATACAATAGTCTTTGAAAGGCTGAAACTTTCATACCCTTGGTTCATATTTACCTGAACTACCTTGATTATTGAAACATAAGTATTGGTAGTACATTGCATAGCCAAGTAATTCCTGCATCCTTTTGTTTGCATGCAGAGCTATTAGAAGTGAAGGAAAAAGGGAAAAGGCAAAAGAGAAGGGAGAAAAAAGGGTTAAACGTGTTGTTATCTAAGTCATAGGGATATCGTGATCAAGCTACGAGGTTGTTACTTGAGAAATCATCGTAACCTGATCACTGTATCTCTACAACCAGACCAAGATGCATCTCTAGCTCTACCAAGCACAAATGCATGCTTGCAAAAACACAGCAACCGTCAATACTCAACATACTCTTTAGACATTTCATTTTATCCTTCAACCCTGAAACATAATAAATAGGATTATTAAAATTCCCACTCATCGAATGCAGATATTTTTACATGAAAAGCAGAAAACTCCACCATGTACTTACAGAGTTTGAAAGCAAGCACTGTCTTTTGACTGTTTACAAATTGCTTGCGTGTGTGAGTGGGGGGGAGGAAGGATGTGGATGGGGAATATGGGACCTATATAGTGTTCAACTACTGTATGTTCCTCTGCTATGTAAGGGCTAAAAACCTGTGATAGCACACATGCTACTTGGCTTTGCTCTGTATTTCCGGACCCCTAAAATGAAAGAAAAATAGTCTACTGGAAAGGAGGACTGTGTCAGAAGCTCCTAAATCTTAATTCCATTTCTGACAAAGAAAGAGTCCTTGTGAGATCTTGGCATGTTATGTAACTACTTTCTCCTTCTGTCAAATGTGAACATTCTTTACAACAGTGCACAGAGGATTAATCATTTACTCTGTAAGTATTTTGATAATTAAAAACACTTTAAGTGCTAATGGCTGCTGTCAATCTAAAAAAATAGGAGCCTGAAAAATATGTATTTAATTCCAGCTACCAGTTCTAGAATATGGACAAGCAGGTACCTAATTACACTACCACTGAAGTACAGCTGCTGTGCATCAGTGAACTATCTATAACTGCGTGGCACTCTGGTATTGCCTTATGTCTGAGGATTTTGAGCAAGATGTTCAGCCACAACATTTCACTGAAGAAAATAAAAGGGAAGCCTTGCATTCTGTGCTCTCACTCTGGAGAAACTGCTTGGCTCACATTATTTGGCCAGTTGAAATTTGAGCTTCCTCTGTAGCAGAAGGCCTAGCCCTCTTCCTGGGGTCTCTTGACTATATATTAACAAACTTAATAGAAGCAGGACATTGGCTGCCGTGGTCCCCCTGCTTCACATGGGGCAAGTTAGGGTGTTATGTCTTCTGTTGTCAAGGTTGATGGTAGTTTCTCTAAGAGTTTAGATTATGGACTGTAGAGGATGGTTTGGATAGGGATGATCCTGCCTAACACAGGAGGATGGACTCTATGACTTCTGGAGGTCCCCTCCAGACCAACTTCTCTATGCTTTCTATTACTCGTATAACCTAGAAGTGCAGTGTTCCCGTCCTGCTGGAATAGGGATCACAACACCTCCGTTCTCCCTAGTCTCATCTAAGAATAGAGCTTTCCCAAAATGAAAAATTGGTGTTGGACAATGAAGGGAGCAGGTGAAAGTGATTACTGCAAGAAGGTTCTGCAAACTTTGGTGCAAGCAGGCTTAGGCCCTAGAGCTGTTTTTTCTAAACCAGTATCAGTGAGGGTTAGGCCTTCCAAAACGGAGGTGTCTCAGGCCTGCTTATCCACAGTGAACACAGAAAGTGTCTGTACATAACACCTACCTCCACTGGCCAGAAGATTTTCCTGGACTTTATCTTTGGAGTCCTCCATAACATCTCCTATGTACTGTGCAATTTTCTTCATTATGCTTAGAAGTGAAAGAAAAAGCTGGGTTAGCGGTGAGACTCTAAGTGAAGATTAAAATATTTTCCTTAATAGAGAGCTACTCAAACAAAATACTTGTGAAGCAAGGCCCTTTAATTTGTAATTAAAACCAATAATAAAAGAGACTGATAGCACATTACTTGACTACACTGCTTATTTTACACACGCTGAATTCAGTAATACACTCCAGACCACAGCATTTTTCCATGGGAATGTTGCTATTGACTTCCACAATATTAGGAATTAGCTTGCTGTGCATATGTAACATCCTCAAAAACACTTAATTCCACACAAATTTAAGTGCAAAATGTCAAGGATCGTCAAAGAAGATTTAGCAAATAATCCTAGAAAAACTGGTTGAAATTAGTGCGTGTAACTCTGCCAGACTGCAAGGGAAAAGCCATGGTTTCCCATGTTTTTCTCCTTTAGAAGGGAATCCATTTTTAAAGTTTGTTCGTGATCCTTTCAGATATTTTTGTGAACTACTTTTGGTCACAAAAGCTAGGGCTGTGGTCCTGGGAGGTGAGCTGCGGGGCCCTCCCATTCACATGCAGAAAGAAAACCACAGTGTGAGGAGGTAGGTGGGGGAGAGGTGAAGGGACAAGGTCAGGAAACAGTTTTGGCAGAGGATGAGCTCTCTCAACACCCACTGAAATCAGTGGAGATAAGGTGCTGAACACCTTGCAGGCTCTGACCTCACAGAGTGGTCTACAGAGCCAAAATGCTGCTGAAGCTCTTTGTAAGGATATAAATTGGGAATGAAGAGTCAGAAATCTTTAGAAAGCCCAACCTGCCTATCAGCCACCTGGAAAAACACTGTGTACCTGTGAAAATAAGTAATAAAAGTATGAGGAAACAACAGATCCTGAAAACTCTCACCCCTTCTCTGCTGTCCTAGTGAGAGGCAGTGCGGACAGGTTTGTACTGCCTGACTTCACCAGCCCGTCTTGCATTTAGCTAAAGGCAGGTCAGCAAGTAGCTGTTTCCGTGGAACAGGAATGCAGTTGCTGCATTCATTTGCATAGCCTGTTGCTAATAACCTTCTGTACATTATTTATTTCAACTGTGGCATGCGTGTGTGTTATATTAACCCTTGGAGCACGAACTCAGCTCTCAAATAAACAAACACTTTAGGGACTAGTTACATAGTGGAAAAAGGTAGTGGTTTTTGTTTTGTTTTTTAAACACTTTCCTAAACTATAAATCCTTCTCCAATAGGATAGTTTGGGTAAGGATGATCCCGACTTTGGCAAGGGGTTGGACTAGATGGCTTATGGAGGTCATCTAGTCCAACCCCTGGGCCAGATGAGTCTGACACCCCTGTTCTTAGGGGTTTGATCATGCTTTGGCAGACTAGTATATTTGGAAGCAGCTCCTATAATTTACAGTGGAAATTCTGCACTCAGGTTCAGCTGCTGGATTAAATCCCCACAGGTACCAAGTGTACCTGGGGAAGCTAGTCAGCCTTAGGAAACTTGTGAAGAAGAGGGATATGGCCGGCTCATAGCCAACACGTGCCTGTGCTACCAGCACCGTAACTATAAACAATGAGTGTTGTCAAACGGGAACAAAGAGCACCTAGGAGAATGTCCGGTTGGCTCAACACATGAAGTCTTGTCCTGTGCTGCAGAACTTCTTGTAACCTCTAGTTCCTCTCTGTTCTTTCCCCTATGCAGACTTCTGTGCACAGAGGTGGCATCCAGCAAAGGATTAGACTCTAAGAGTGATCCTAGAGTAGGGGTGCCAGTGAAATCACCACACATACTTATGCAAGTAAGGCAGCTGACAGACATTCATTTGAAGGAGTGCTGGGATGTGATCCCCAATCACAACAATCATGCTTTCTGCTATGCAACCCATGCATGGCAAGATTCTGGGATTGGGGATCAGACCCAAATCATACCTTATTGCCAGTGCAGGGGGAGTCTGGTATGGTTGGCCCTGCATTGGCAAGTTGAAAACTGGATGCCTGACAATTTGCTGATTGTCAGCTGGTAGGGACTGCACCATGGCCAGTTGGAGATCCCAGTACAGTCCACCCTACCACACCCTCAATTTAAGGTGTGATGGAAACCAGCCACAAAAATCTTATACATTTTGTGGCCTATTTCCCATTTTATTGCACCACCAATTGCCTGAACGTGTGGCCAAGTTACTCTTTAAGACATGATTAACAGGTTAATCGCATCTTAAATGTCACATCTGCCAGAGGCCTCAGTGTTACTTGCTGGAGCAAGTAAGGAGTTGGGGGATCTGGCTTGCAGGGAGTTGAGACCTATGCACAAGAGAACTCAGACTTATCCTGATGACTCCTCTTACATGGGACGGACAAAGTTTTATGGGGAGATCCTTGATGGGGGACAACTGAAATAAAGAAAACTCTGGTCTTCTTTCATTCTGAAAACTTTGCTGCATTCACTGGGATTCATGTTGTGGGTTTTTTTGTTTAGTTTAGTTTTTTGTTTTAAATTAAAAATAATCCTATTTTCTCTGAAGGAAGCTGTTAAGAAATGCTGCCCCCATCAGTGTTACATTTCAAACAAAGAAAACAATTACAAAAAAAATCCCACAACTCTGCCTGTGGCCTCACTCCTCTCCTGCTCTTATTCAGACAGATTTGCCACTGACTTAATTTAGTTGTTTACTGAAGGAATGAAGACTCTAGCTCTTTATTTGTAGTTTAGACTAGAGACACAAGGGTTAAACCAAACCTGCCCACTTCAGTTGAGTTCTAGACCAGACTTACACAAAGTCAGAGGTAGCTTAACACAAGGACACTGTGTACTGTCAAAACAATGTTGGTTTCTCATTTGTGTGTAGTAAATAAGATCTATTTTACCTTTCAGCACAGCTATCAAGTTTTCCCAACTCATCAGAGAGACCAACAAGAGCATCCAATGTCCCCACCTGGGCAAAAGACCATAAATAAGTTAAATGTTCACAAGCCTGTTCTTTAAGAATATAGACTTCTCATTAGCAATTATAAAGCCAACAGACCTGGTAGAATTTAATTCTCTTAATGGAAAATAGCAGCAGTTCCTTTTCTAAGGTTTGGAAATAAAGAGAGTCTGGTCTGATAAAAGGAAAGACTATGCATATTAGTCTCATAATCACGCACTGATGACCTCCTTTTCATTTTCTGTTCCTGGATCATCACATAACATCACCTAATCATTAATTAATAAAATACTGTGTGGTATGAAGCGTGAAAAAGAAACACAATCACAACAGACATACTGAAGTACACAAATGCTTTGTCTGCTTTCTTTGTTGTTCCTGAAGAACGTGAGTGTCACTAAGGACATCCCCTAAGCCAAGTTCTCCTTTTTGTGTGACCTGGCACTACAGTCATAATCCTGTGCTTGTGATATCACAGTCTGTTCCTGAATTTTTCACAGTTAAGCTTCTGATTGCCATAATGGACTCTGTGTGGGGTCATACTAAAGAGAAGGGCTGTAGTTGCAGAACAATTTTGCTGTAGCATGGTACCTTAAGGGACATAAATTCAGTCCTTTCTCCAGATCCATGCTGAAGGCTACATCTCCTGGGGCACCTAGCTATACAGGGGCCTCTGGTCATTTAGACTGGGAAGTCTTAAGAAACTCGACATGATGCCAGTCCTGTCACTCCCCTTGTGCATCACTGGCTACAGGAATGGGCCTAGTAGGCTTAGATAGACGTTTGGACGACTCGAAAGGGAAAAGATGGTTTGGGGGGAAAAAAAGCAAATTCTACGTAGTGTAATTAGCAAAACATAAAGTGGTTGAAGTAAAAGAGCCAATAGAAATTGTAAGTGGGTACCTCCTTTGAAGCCAGAGGAGCTCCTTTGACTTACACCAGCTGAAAGCAAGCTGAAGGTACAATTCCATATTTAGGTCATGTGCACATACCCTACGATAGCTTCTCCAGTCTGAAAGGCCCATGTTAAAACACAGTATGGCATACCATAGCTCCCAGCATTCAGTATAACAACCAGAAGGCCAGATTCCCATTTATTACATCCGCAGAAATCTAAAAGTCTGTTTGTAGCTGGTTAATAGTCCCTTCAGAGCGGTGGTTCTCAATAGTCTTAGACTTGAAGCACTTAGAAACTGCTAGCTCTTAGGTTTTCACTTGCTTTTTTGACTATAGAAAAAATAATAGAGCAATTTTTCTTTTAAAAAGACCTCATAATAAAGACTACAACAGGTCATAATTTTTTAAACACTATGGATTCTTATTTTAAATCTCTGGGTTTATCTTATGAATCATGTCACAACACCCTGGTTGAAAAATCACTGCTCTGAGTTCAGGCAAGATTTTTTATGTACTGAGCATATTCCACTCTCTAACGTCCTGAAGGATTGACTAACTCTTGTATAGCTCCATTGACTTTCATGGTGTGGCTCTGGATTTTCACCACGATGAAAATAAAGCTCACTTTTAAAAAATAAGGATGAAAAATAAGAAAAAAGACTAAGAATCATAAACATATTCTTCCTCCTGTTTATCTCTCTAGTTATGTTAGTTATTATCCAACGTGAATGTGTACACCCTGGTACATCACTTCTCATTTCTTAAGCAACAGGTCTGACACATTTTCCTTCACTAAGAGCCTTACAGGCACTCTCCTGCATTGTCATCAACTTAAGTACTCTATTTGCATAACATGATCCTATTGTGAGTCCTGATCTACTACCCTGAAAATCCTGCGTAAGACAGATCAACTAGCAGGCACACAATTTGAATTGGCTAGCCACAGCCCTGGCACACATCATGTCCTAGAGCCATGCTGTGCAAGCAAACTTATAAGGATCACTCTCAAATTAATCTTAAGTGCCTTCCCTGCATAGGTTTCTCCTAGAACGCTCTCATAGCAGTCTTCCTGTTTCAGGTCACTGCATCACCCAGCCCCCATCTTCCCTTTCTGCTTTTACCTTTAGGTCTGGGATGACAAATTTGCTGTTGCTGGATAGGTTGGCCTTAGATGTCACTGTAGTTATCCGCTCCCACGCCTGCAAATTGGCTTTATCTCCTGGTGCAGAAATTAGCCAGAACTCCGACATGATTCTTGACCTTCCCTCCACTCTTGATCACAAACAGCGCGAGAGAAGCAAAGGGCTCTGTGCGAAATGCACTTCTCTCTGGGACCTCTGAAAGGCTACAATGAAGAACAGAAGGTCCACAGACTTTTAAAACCAGGAGAGAGTGAGTCACTCCTCAGCTGAAAGCTTACACAGAACATGACCTTCTCCTGAATGTCATGAAAAGGCTGCAGCCGGTTCCTCCTCCTTCAGGAGTGTTTTATCCAGTGTCTGGGGAGGAGACTTCCCTAGAAATGAAGCCTCATGGGCAGAATTTAAGGCGTCTACTGCAGTCAGTAATGAAACTCATTGAATTCACTAGGGGGGCAGCGCGGGGACTAGGGGAAGTGGTCATGGATGAAATTATAGAGAAGTAGGGCTGGAAGGCACCTCAAGAGGTCATTTAGTCCAACCCCCTGCCTGAGGCAGGAAAGGTCTTGGGTCCCAAAGGGGAGAGCCTCTGATGCCATGCACTAACCAACTGAGCTAGGGCAAAACAAACCCTTCCAGGGAGTCAGGCCAGCCGCTTTCCCCTTTCCTTAATTACATTACTTGCAAAATTTCTCCGCAGAGGAGGAGCCACCCCAAAGTTCCCAAAACCACAGCTGAAGCAGGATGATACTACCACGTCAAGAATAAATACATGGTGCAGGGAGGGGGACACACAGGGGCGACGGGCAAGTCCGCTGGCCCTCACCGAACAGCTCGGCCTGGCAGACCGGACCCGGGGTGGGAAGGGAATCGCCCCCGCCCCTGTTATAAGCAGAGATCACTGATTCAACCCCCAAAGGACTGGGGAGCAGCTGAAGCCCCAGGCTGCGAAGTCTGGGGTGGGGGATACTTACAAGTTGTAGCCCCACATCCGGCGACTGAAGGATTGAGGTCTGCTCAGTCCAGAGGATTTAGAACCGATTTGGCTAATCTGACCTGGAATACGAAAAAAACATTTCCCAAAAAAATAAACTAAAAATCTCCACCCCCCGCAAACCTCCCCGCAGCGTTTGCTGCTGGAGGACCGGCGGATCCGGGTCGTCCTCCTCAGCAGGCCGGTGCCGGCGCCTCCTCCGGGCACAAGCTCCGCGGAGCGCCCGGCCCCGCGCCCTCACCTGTGCGGGGCGGGGCGGGGCGGGGCG